TACAGTGGGCGGTGGTTCATCCTCACAGTCGTCACAGAATAGAATATTTCCATTGGAAGAGACCTGCAACGATCATGTAGTCCAACTGCCTGACCAGGTCAGGGCTGACCGAAAGTTAAAGCGTGTTGTTAAGGGCATTGTCCAAATGCCTCTTAAACACTGACAGGCTTGGGGCATTGACCACCCCTCTAGGAAGCCTATTCCAATTCCAGGGTTTGACCACCCTCTTAATAAAGAAATGCTTCCTAACATCCAGTCTAAACCTCCCCTGGTGCAGTTTGGAACCATTCCCATGCTATCTTCCTATCACTTGATACCAGGGAGAAGAGATCAGCACACCTCTCTCTGCTTCTCAGCCTCAGGAAGCTGTAGAGAGCAAGGTGTTTGCTCCTCAGCCTCCTTTTCTCCAAACTAGACAAGCCCAGAGTCCTTAGCTGCTCTTCACAGGACATGCCTTCCAGCCCTTCCACCAGCTTTGTTGTCCTCCTCTGGACGCATTCAAGGACCTTCACATCCTTCTTAAATTGTGGGGCTCAGAACTGCACACGATGATCAAGGTGAGGCCACGTCAACTGAATACAGCAGGATCATCACCTCTTTTGACTGGCTGGGGTGCGCCCCAGGATATGGTTTGCCCTCTTGGCTGCCAGGGCACACTGGTGACTCACATTGAGCCTGCTACTGACCAGCACCCCCAGATCCCTTTCTGCAGGGCTGCTCTCCAGCCACTCCTCTCCCAGGTTATACTGGTGCCTGGAAGTATAAAGAAGTGTAAGATCCACCCTGGCCCTTCTCCAGGCTGAAGAGTCCCTGGTCTCTCAGCCTCTCCTCATATGACGGTTTCTTTCAGTAAGCAAGAACCTTCACTACCGCAATGTTGTGGCTTACTTGAATGTGTATGACTCTAGCCTCTTGTGATTGCTCTTGGACCTTTCTCGAACTAAAATAGGTCATTAGTAGTAGGCATTTTCTTCCCAGGATTCTATATCATAACCAAATCACCTTTCAGTCTACCTGTTTTAAATACTTTAGGTCATTACTGTCTTTAAGAAGACTTCTTACAGCCTTAAACCACAGTCCCACCACGGTTCTTTTCTGAGCTGTTTCCAGCTTTCCAGCTTGCCTGTAAATGTGACGCCATCCTCAGGATTGTCCTATGAGGCATCAAACACCGATCACTCACTCCTACTTCCCGCACTCCTGTTTAGGCCAGCAGAGCTACCTGCCTTCGCTGGAGATTTGACCACCTTGAGTGTCTGCCCCCTTTTAGCCCCACAAGGAGTCCATTAGCTTTTTTTGGGAGAATAACACAATGAGAACTCACATGATCTTGTGTATCCTCTATGACTTGTGAAATTTTTTCAGGAGTCTTTCTGTAGGAATGGCTTTTGTTCCTACGTTTTCCTACCTGAATACATTTCTCCTGCCTGTAAGAAAATATATTTTCCTTGAATGTACCCAACTTACCAAGTTATCCAGATCTCTCTGAGTGGTCTGTTCTTCTTGCTGTTTATCACCCTGTTCATGTTTGTGTCACCTGCAGGGTTTTACCTGCAGCGGTTTTGTATTTACCTTCAAATCATGGATGGAAATGTTGACTAGTTTTCATTCAACTATTGATCCCTGCAGAAAGCAACTAAAATAACCAAAGCGTATTCCCAACTGACAATTATTTCTACTGTCTATTGAAAGATCTCAATTCTCTTAATGTATGCTTTATTGATTTTGCACAGTACATCTTCTTACTCAATACAGCATACTGTAATTTTCTTTATATCAACAGGTCATGCCTCACAAAAATTGTGTACCATAACACTATGAATTTACTTATCAAACACAACTTCATTATCAAACAGAATGCTGAGTGTCTCAATCCAAAAACTCACGTTCTTGTTCTATAAGTCCCTATTAGCAAGCACCTGTATTAGATCTTCCATTATTTTTCACTGAATAGTTGTCAGCTATCCGACCTGTAGATCCATTGGTCTTAGGCCTTCTCCACTTTAAGTACAGGAAGTGTGTTGGTACCTTAACACTCCTCTGCTATTCCTACAGTAATCAAAGAGTAATTAAAGCCAGATCTCAGCAGGCCAGAGTTGAGCAGCATTTATTACGTTTTTGGGTAATGAAGGATTCTAAGAGATGGAGGTGGACAAAAGAAAACTGTATCTTGAACAGGGTAATCATGATGCTGGTTGATAAGGTAGGTTGAGGAGTTGGAAGGAATACACAAGGGATAAGTGATGTAGTGAGCAGGAAAAGTAAAAAAGAGTAGTGTGGAGGTGATGTTGCTGAGAGAGGAATGAGCAAAAGCTGTTTATCAGGTGATGGATAGTAGAAAGGGAATGTTAGT